AAGTGAGCAATCCACCCTTTTCTGACTGAGGACCATGGCCTCAGATCTGGAGGTGCTGATTCTCATCCCAGCCGTTTCACACTCTGCTGCGAACCACTCCATTGAGAGCTGAAGATCACAGCATGATGATGCCAACAGGACCACATCATCTGCAAATAGCAGAGATGGAAGGAATCCTGAGGCCACTGAACCAGAAACCCTCCGCCCCCTGGCTGCACCGAAATTCTGTCCATAAAAGTCATGAACAGAATTGGTGACAACGGGCAGCCCTGGCGAAGACCAACAAACAACTTGATTATTTCAGTTGTAGTAATGGAGAGTGTAAGACTGACGTGGTATTTTAATAGAAACAAACTGATACAGTAAATCAGCACATTAACACACACATAGACATTTCCAGCTTTCATTTATAATCTCATTGCTTAAACCATCTGAGATTAAGAAAAAAAAAGCAAAGTTGGTGGGGACATAACACCAGAACAGTGTTATCAAACATGGACCCAGATTTTTAGTCTCAAGAGTTTCCTCACATTCACTAAAAAAATGAAGCAAACAGACAACCAGTCTAACTTCTTAAAGTGCATTTAGCAGCTCCTCATAGCCCATGTCTGTGCAGCAGGTCTGCTGCTTTAAGCTATGAAACCTTCCGGGACATACAAACCATTCTTTTTTTGTCAGCTAATATGAAATACGCACAGTACTCGTGTACTTTCGACCCCTATGGCATTTGAAAACTTAACCCAGTTGGTTCAACACTGTCGCAGCTGCAGACAGTTTTATCTGCCATGATAGTTTGAAAGTGAAATGGTAGCTTGGATCAGCTCGACTGATATATGTGTAATTATGTGTCGACTAAACCTATCGGTGTGAAAAAATTTTACATATTTGATGACATTTGTGACAACTCTTTTTTTGGGCAGTATTAAAACCAACAACCTGTTTTGGTTCATAATCAAATAAATGTTACAGGGAAAACATCCTAATCCGAAGGGCCTTATTAAAACGTCATGGTTGTATTTTTCTGTAACACTTGTACAATTTATGCGCTCATGTTAACAGTTATAATGAATCAGCCACATCAACAGCAGCACGATGCAGACACAGTTACTGGTTTATCTGATATTACCTAAAGCCAGTTCATTGGTTGGAGTCAAACACAATGTAGTGAGACCATTTGTATGCTGGTGAAGATTCTCAGTCATCCAGGACATGATGAATGCAAAAAAACGTTCAATACAAAAACAACTGGACTTTATTTGTAACAGAAGTGAGCGAGGGTTCAGGTTTTAAGACCATTTGTAGCACAAACATGTTAGTTGTGTCATCTAAAGGGTTTTTGTTATTAATATTTTTGCAAATGTAATTAGAATAGGTTCTTTAAAATTAATAGTAACAAGAAAAAAAAGATTTAGAATCTGATTGCTGACAATAGTGGTTGCATAAGTTGTGGTTTGTTGTTCTGATAAGAGCTTGATGCTGTACTAGTGTAATACTTGTTTGACTAGCTGCAAAGACCATAGTTTGTTTGTCATCTACCCTGCACTGCAAGACTTATCAGCTATTAGCGATGCCAACTTTTATTATTGGTTTTATAAATAATGATAACTTAAGACATATGTTTTAGACATTTGCCTACCATTTAGTTCAAAACAGGTTTTAAAGGCAATATTTTATTTAACACAACAAATAGATGGAATCAGTTGAGTATCAGTCGCTAGGTTAGTGTAGGCACTTGGAATGATTTTTACTGAAGGATTCTTTTAGTTATGAAACTTGGGTAATCGATTAAAGCTTAAAAAAAGATACCTCATTTGTTATGATACGTTGTGTACATCCAAATATACAGGGTAAAATGTGTCATTAATTATGACACTTAATAGAAAATCAATGGGACTCTGTTTAAAAACTGTGATCGAAAATGCAGCTGAGCAGACAAGCTGAAGTTTCAATAAGAAAACACCAATAAAAGAAAAAAACACAAGGAAAATGTTTACCATATATTACACAGAATATTCAATATATTAAAATATTTAGTTAAAATATGGTTTACATTTTATGCAGATTAATATGCAGATGTAATGTGCAGGTTATTCAACAGTAAAGTCACATGAAACGCTATATTTCATATTAAAAAGTGATAGATTAAACAGTCTTTCACTTTAAAAATTTTCAGATTTGTTGCACTTGTTGTTCTATACAAGATGTAAAAGAAAAAAATTATATAGTGTGTAATATATTTTGTTGTGATTTGACCTTGACCTCGAGGTCAAATATACTATACATTAGAACTATACAAACCCAGATAGCTAAAAAGAAAGCCATAACATGCGGGGTGTCACATCGAAGCTGTGACCAACAGGGATCCAACGAAACATCTCTAAACAACACTATTTTTAAGTCCAGTAAGATAAAGCCGGAAAAAACTCATATCTGGGAAAATGGAGGACCTCTCCTCCCGCACCGCCGGGCCATCAAAAGACTGATGCTTTAAATCACATAAAATCTCGTGTTTAAATCTTACAACCTGTACAATGTGCTAAACACACTTCTAGACGTGTTAAATAAGAAACAAAGCTTTAAAATTTGAGCTGAAATTCACCTTGTTTTTAAAACTGCGACAGCTTTGTGAAAACTTTATCGAAATTGATCCGGAAAAAAACAGACAGCATGGCAGGAATTAATGAATTCAAAATGATGACTACCGCAGGTATATAATGCAGAGCAAGCTTTTAATCAGTTTTTATTAACCTGAAGCAAGTGGTGAATTAAAATGGTTATGATGTCACCAGAGGAGGTGCTGCGCGCTCGAAAAACAAGGGTATTTCCAAGTGCCTAGTTAGTGTAAAGGCTATAATAATACATTCAAGAGCATCCATCCATTATCTTTTACCAAGAGCAATGACACAATTTAAAAAAACAACCTTAATGGATTTGAACTTGCACACTGACCTAATCTCCAGTCAGTTGTCTTCAGTCAGTTTGATTTCTCCTAAATACTATTTTGAAAGATGGTAAAAGTCCTGTAAGCTTTCTCAACATGCAAAAGCTCCATCAGAATGATACAGAGAAGTGCAACTCATCTCAATTCCCATCCGTCTCAGAAGTGATGGGGGCTGCCCCTTGCAGCCTCCTGAAATTACTCGTTTTGTTTCCATTATGATTCAGACTAATGTCTCTTTCCCTTGCTATTGGGTATTTCTGACAAGTAATATATGCAGTGATCAGGCAGATGAGATGTGTCAAATCAGTAGAAGTAAAACTGTCCAAAACTTTGAGGTGGGGGTGTTGACAGAAGAATGCAAAAGATGAAGAAAACTCATCAGATGAAGAGATGACACACAAAAAAAGAAAAAACTGTGTTTCAGTTACTCCGTCGTCCCTTGTGTGTTGCAAGGCAAGGAAGCGCAAAATCCTACCTCGCTCGTCTACTACGGTGTTTATTTACTTCCTGAAGTTACTTCCCTGCGCCTGGCCCGCTCATGGTGAGCCTTGTGTTTCACACGCTGCTGCTCTGTGCTCAGGAGTCAGTGGGCGCGAAGCGAGGACAAACGGGTGACTGGATGTGCGTTTTGGAGCACGGCAGAGAGCAGAAATAAGAGGGGAGGAGACGGTAGTGAGTGTGGGAGGCCTGTTTAGTTAGGGGTTTGACAGACTTCTGCGCAAGCATGTTGAAAACCCAAACCTCTTTTCATCCAGAGGTCCCAGGAGACGAGCCCCCCCTCTTGTTGTTGATGGTGCATGTGGTCAAGCTGCTGTTTCCTTGTCTCTTTCTGGGGGTTTTTTTCTTCTTTTTTTTTTTTGTCCTTATTTTCATCCTCCCACAAGCCTCCTCCCGTCCTCACTTTGATACGCTTACTTGTGCTCCCCTCCCCCGCATCCTCACTCTTCTGTTCTGCTTGTTTACATCTTGATGCGCAGTTCATGCACAGGATGTTTTTTGTGTGTTTGTTTCCATCTGTAAGCATGAGGTGTTTGCTATACCACATAGAATAAAGAGATATAATCCAGCACGTGTGTGTGGGTACATACATCTGTGTGGTCGGCTTTAAGCACTCTCCTCTAGCCTAGCATGTTGTGATGTCATTGACTGCTACTCACCATCACAGCGAGTCAGCGCTGCCCATTGGTACTCCGCCCCCCTCGGCTCTGCAACACCACCATCGAGGAGCAGCAGCTTGCTTGGAGAGGAGAGGATGCTGGCGTTACAGTGAGGACAAGGAAGAGGAGAGAGAGAAGTGTAAATAGAAGAAGATGCTTGAATGCATTATGAGGTGCATCAGATGCTCAGATTAATGATGCTTGCCAGGATAAACAGCAACATTTTACTGCCTGTTTCAGCAGTTTATTTATACGTTAAACAGATGACTGTTTTGCAGCTCACATTGTAGCTTTCTATATATATTTTAAAAACACATTCCACGTTGGTGTGTGTTCGGATGTGTCTTTTTCCCATGGTGATGTGTGTAACTCATAACTGGTGCAACATCAGTCAGCATGAAGCCATTTGCATGCACCTGGATAGCAGCTGCTTTCCAAACTGGGCCAAGAAGACCTCAACTGCATCCCCACTCGCCTCTATAAATAAACATGACAAAATGACACACTCACCTCGGCTCTTAAACACATTGACTGTAAGAAGTAATGGAACAGTGCTCACAGGATCCTGGAGATGTTGATCATTTCAATGATCTCAAGGTTTTATTAAACTCTGAGAGATATGTATGTATATATTTATACCGGTGTGTGTATATATATCATTTATTTGCTACAGAAAAAAAAAACATGAAGTTACTCATTATAAAAAGTAAACCAGTAAAACACATGGGTATACAGTAAAACAAAGAGTACTACTTCTGATTGTTTTAAAAGATAGGATTAGCATCTGTGTGTCGGCGGTAAGCAGTAACCGTTTATAAAAGGTGATAGATTGTCAAATTTGGCTTCAAACAGAACTTTTTACATGTAGAGTCACTCAGTATTTGTCCTGTCTTGTTTTGTAGGATGAAGCTTTTGCAGGATTTGGAGTGACTGCTGAACAAACAGAAATACAGAGCCCTTCAGAAACTTCTCCAGGTACAATTACTTCAAAGTTAAACAATACGTGTTTATAATTTTATTGAGACAACTGTGCAGTTTCAAGATGTCTATAGTGAATTTTTCCATGCTTACATTATTTTGTTTATTTTCTGATTTGATAAACAGCCCCACCCATACAAGAGAAGAAGCCCAGAGGCCGTCCACCACGTGTCCTGACTGCCCAGAAAGCTGCTTCAAGTTTACCTTCCCTCTCGTCCTATCCTTCCCCGACACAGGCAAAACCTGACGGACCTGAACGGCCAGCAGAAAAAGTAAAAAGGCTGCCCGGGAGACCACCTGGCACCGGAGAGAAGAGACGGGGACGTCCACCTTCTTCAAGCAATAAAAAAGCTTGGAGCACAGGTAACCATGTGGCAGGGGAGGACGGCAGGCAGGCTGGGTTTGAGTTGGGTGTGGATGCAGAGGAAGATAAGGACAGAAAAGGCAACAGGAGACTGTCAGTGGACTCTGCACAGCCTCTTGACACTGAGGCAAAGTTTCCCAAAGGTGGACGAAGTGAATCCAAAGTTTCCAACCTGAAAAGGCTGACGGAGACTAAAATCACCCCTCTCAAGTCACGTCTCAAAACTTTGCCTGGCGTACCCCGACGTAGACGTGGACGACCACCTTCAGCTGAGCGGCTCAAAGCTGAAGCAGCAGCAGCTGCTACTGCACAGCTGTCTACCTCCATTGAAGGCGGAGAAGGAAAACATAAGACTTTTAGGGTCCGAGGTGGAGACAACGGCATTGAACCACACAACCCTCAGCAGTCCATGCTACGGAACATGGATGGTGCTGAAAATCAGGACTCTTCCAATCCACCTGCCTCCCCGTCTCCCTCTAAACCAGGTAGACCAGTAGGCCTTAGGAAAAGTCCTCGGCATAGAAAGCCCGTTAGAATTGTTCCCCCTTCTAAACGAACAGATGCAACCATCGCCAAACAGCTGCTGCAGCGCGCTAAGAAAGGGGCACAGAAGCGGCTGGAGAAAGAGGCCATTGTGGGGAGTGGCTCAGGGGCCACTGAGGCTGGCATCAGAAAGACCCAACTGAAGAACATTAGGCAGTTCATCATGCCTGTGGTCAGCACTGTTTCCCTTCGCATCATTAAAACTCCAAAGCGCTTCATTCAAGATGAGGGCAGTTTTGGAACTCCCCAACCCCATGCAAAGATAGCACGGTTGGAGACACCCCCTTCATCTGTCCCGACACCTGCCCAACCAACATCTACCACCTCCTCATCACCTTCTCCTGCCCTTGTGTCTGTTACTCCTGCTTCTACTAGCAGTGGTGCAACTGCTCCTGTTGAATCTCTCCCTCCTCCATCATCTCCTGTCCCTACACCCACTGTCCCAGCAACAGCTTCCAGTCTGCTCAACAGCAACACCAGTAACGCAGCCAATGGTAGATTTAGCCATAGCGCGCTGTCTTGCGGCTCAAGTGTTGTCTCACAGCATTCCTCCCAACTATCCTCTGCGGAGTCTTCCAGGTCCAGCAGCCCGAGCTTGGATGACTCATCTTGTGACTCCCAGGCTTCTGAGGCCACACAGGCCCTGTCAGAGCCAGAGGATCATTCCCCGTCCTCACAGGAAGAAAGGGTGGCTAACCTGTTAAACAGCTCAAGGCTTGCTTCTCCTCCTTCTGAACCAGAGCCGGAGACGAGTCGAAGAGGTCGGAGAGCTCAAGGAGCTAGCCAGGGAAGTCAGAAACAGAGAGTGAGAGAGAGTCTCCCTACTGGGGTTAAAAAGCCACTCATCAGCCCACCAACAGGAGTGCTGATGACCTCCTCTACTCTTGGAAATTCTCAGCAAACTTCATCCACAGCCTCATCTCCCTCTTCACCTCCTCCTCCTCCTCTCCTTGCTGCTCCACAACTGCCCCTATCAAGCTCCTCTAATACAGCTGCTATCAGTGAACATCATGCCCAGTCCTCCTGGATGCCTCACACAATTCCATCGTTCATGCCGGGGCCGTCAGTGCTTTCCAGCTTGTCAGACAAACGGAGCCGTTCGATTCTGAGAGAGCCCACCTTCCGCTGGACATCCCTTTCCCATCCTAAAGAGCAGTGCATTTCCTCTGCTAAATACGCCAAGGAGGGTCTCATTCGAAAGCCTATATTTGACAATTTCCGTCCTCCACCTCTTACACGTGAAGACGTGGGATTGTTGCCTGGAGCAGGAGGATCCGGTTCAGTTACATTTCCAGCACCAGGCTCAGGAGCAGGTAGTCGTCTGTTTGCTTCTCTTCACCCCCATACCCACCACCAGCATCCCGCATCATCCCGCTTCGATGCATCCCTCCAAAAGCGCAGTCCATTGCTCCGTGCTCCACGTTTTACACCCAGTGAGGCCCACTCCCGAATATTTGAGTCTGTTACCCTGCAGTCATCTTCCGGGAGCAGCCCCGGTTCTCTCTCACCACATCAGACATCCCCTAGTTCAAGAAGACCCCAGCGGCGCAGCAAACGAGTGGTCCAGGGACCACAGCGTGGCCATCCACAGTCCCCATTACACACTATGACCAGACGCAGCAGCCAAATAAGAGAGCAGATGTCTGCTGGTAAAGGTGCCTCTGAGATGTCTGGGCTGACAGGATCTGTCTCCAGTAGTAACTCCAGCTCATTGCCAGGGGTTTCTGCAAGTTCACTAGCCACTAGTGCCTTAACGCCTGCTCCTTTCAGCACCTTCTCCACTGTCTCTCGGGGTCTGGCCTCACAAGGAACACCGGATAGCAGAAAAGGGGCAGCTGGAACTCCATCTCCCATGTCAAACACATCGTCCGCTTCTTCCCCACTTTTCCCTCTATTTCCTTCCAGTGCTCAGGACACAGGCCGAGGAGGAGGTAAAGGAGTTAAAGACAAAAGCTCAACTCCCCAAGAACCTACTCCAAAAGAAAAAGAAAGGGAGACTGAGAGAAATCGTGAGAAAGAGAAGGAAAACAAGAGGGAAGGGAGGAAGGAGTTTGAAAGAAGAAGTAAGGTGTCCACGCCGGACGGCTCCCCAAATGCACCTTCCAGCTTGTTTGCTGTGGACGGGAGAGACTCCGAAGGCGCTCTTGCACCAAAAAAGACTCCAGGCAGAAAAAAGTCAACATCTGTGGAAGCAGTTTCTGACACTGCTTCCCCAGAAGTGAGAGGACTTCATTCCATGTCCATCACTAAAGGACGTCAAGCAAAGAAAGGGCGACCCTCTGAGAAAGGGGCAGAGGCAGAAGAGGTGGAAAAGGAGAAAGAGAAACGAAGTACCAGTACATTAAACCAGCAGACTGCTAACCTTCCAGGGCAGCAAGGTAGACATAACATTCCTGTCTCTTTGATGGTAACGCAAGCAGAGCAGCATTCGTTGACTGACAGACAGCTGTTTGGGCTTCTGAAGAAGGCCAAAGACCAGCTGATTGCAATAAAGAAGAATAAGCTGAAGCCTGCTGATCAGACTAAGGTCCAGGTCAGTTTTCTTTTTTTGTCTTCATAGACCTTTAGTCTTGACAAAAAAAAGTTTTCTGGTTTTCTCATTTTCAGTGTCTAAATGAACAAATGACATGATTCTTTAAATATTTCCTATAAATAGAAACCTGTGTTTGTACTCAGACTGAAATTTGATCAAAGGAAAGTCTCACAGAGTGTTACTTCAGGGAAATTTGTTTTTGCTTCACACATTTTGAAGTAAGCAGAGCAAGCTGTACTTTTCAAATAAATGTTTTTTTCAGCTGAATATTTTCCCTCAAATTGCTGCTGTAAATATTAAGACGTTTACAGGCAGACGTTGCCTACAAATATCTCTACACTTTCCTGTCTCTTTATAATTGTCCCATTCTTCATGATTGAATATCCGTTGAAAAGAAATGCTACTAATAATAGAAACTAGCTGTGTTGTTTTAGTGGGAGGGTATGTTTGTCTATATGTGGTACCATCATTGTTCTTCTTTTAAAGCTTTGCTACTATTTGCTGTTGTGTGCTTATGTACAGGGTCAGGAGAGTGACTCGTCAGAAACCTCAGTTCGTGGTCCACGTATTAAGCATGTATGCCGTCGTGCAGCTGTGGCTCTTGGCCGGAATCGAGCAGTATTCCCTGACGACATGCCCACACTCAGTGCCTTGCCATGGGAGGAGAGAGAAAAGATCTTATCTTCCATGGGGAATGATGGTAAGGACAAACCTACCTCTCATTTGCCTTAATATTGGCTTCTATATTTGTCTGATAAAACACTCTGGTAAAAAAAATAATGATTTAAAATATACACTATGAATTTGACCTAGTTTACAGTCTAAGCCTTCATAGTCTGAGGAGGACTTTGTTTGTACCACTGTTTGATATATATGTTTGGCATTGATGACCTTATTAATAGGGATGCACAAATGTATCAACCCCTAACTGGAATGGAACCACTTTAAGCAGAAACTAGCCAATCTGACATACAAATTTTCATGGTTTTCTTGTTTGTAAGCTCACCATAGCTAAGTAGCTTGATTGTGCTAATAAGAAGCACATTGTGCTTTTCAAGTGAAAAAGAATCATAGTTAGCTATTTCACAGTTAACTTCAGAAGAAGCACAATAGGTGTTATAGGCTATGAACAAGAAGTTGCTCACTTCACAGTTTAGTAACAATATCAGTGGTAAACAGTGACTTTAAGGGTTAGGTCTTCAGCCAGGATGTGTTATTGTAACAGCCTAATGCTAACGTGAAAGGCACAGAGTTGCAGTTTGATATCAACACTTTACTTTCAGTATCACAATTCTGTTACTCACCGAACAGGAAGTGCTTCTCCTCTTTTTATCCATCAAGTACATCTGACTTACGGTGTTACTTTTCATCGTCACAAACAGCAACTTGAACATAAATGCCAACCCAACGACAAACCGTAAAACCAACAAGGACAATCCATCTGAACACATAACCTGAAAAAGGCCGCCCATTTCTGTCCCGAGATTATTCAGAAGGACATGCGGCTCAAACTGTCTTTTACGTTCGTGTAAAAAATAAAAAGCTTTCAATAAAGTACCAGCTGCCACTTAAATTGATGACAGTAAAGTTCAGCTTGTTATCTAACAAGGTTAAGTCAGGTCATTTGGATGGATTCTTCTATCCGTCCAGATGACCTGACTTAACCTTGTTAGATTTTTCTACCTGGATTATTAAGCATGCATCAGGACATTCAGCTTGTTATGTGTTACCTACAATTGCCTTGAGTGTTGTTGCCATGAACTAAAACTATGATTTACCAATCTAACACATTCAGGGCTTGTTATCTTGCATGTTTTAGTTATTTCCCTGCTTCGACACGTCTTATTTAAGTCAGTGACTCTTTACTTTTTTTCTGCAGAACTTGATGACATTCTTAGATGGTAATTCAGTCTTTTGAGTCAAGTGTGGTAGAGGGTTTTATTTGTACAAATACCTCTGCTCAATTACCTGGAGGGTATTAGTTGTAGATTTCACAGACAGTGGAAGGTATTGTAACTCAGTACTGTTTTAGAAAAATAATTATAACTACTACATTGTTTTTAAACACGCTATCAGAAATTCAATTAAAACTCAAAATGAGGGGGAAAATGTGTGTTTTGAATGTTGTCAATCATAGTTTGTACTGAAAAATAAAATATCAGTTTTATTGAAATTTGACACAAGAACTTTCCAAATACTAGAACTCTGAATCGGCAAAGAGAACTGCAGTTTATGTAGCTTTAATTTAGATATTTTTATTTATTTATTTATTTTATTTTATTTATTTATTTATTTATTCATTTCATTTAATTTCCAATAAAAACACAAATACAATTTAAAAAAATTAAAGAAAAACAAATATAAAATGAAAGGAAGCAGAAGAAGAAAATTTCTTATCATATCTGCTCCCTCATAAACAAAATCAATTCAAACCATCAATTTAAACATAAACATTCATATATAATACAGCAAAATACATAACTCATCAAAATTTCATACTTAACAAAATAGACATTAATTAGTTATATATATTGTTCCAACAAAACAGTTTTTATCTTTTTCTTAAATATAAACATTGACTTCACCATTTTAGCATCATTTTCCAAACCATTCCACAGACTCATTCCCTGTATATTATTTAGACATTTGCTTGTAAAGTTTTTACATCATAAGAGACTAAGCAGAAGGTGTTTATGATTTTATTTGGACACGTTTTGAAAAAGCATGTACAGGATTTGATGATGGGAGACTGATTATTGTCACGCTGATGGATGACAAATCCAGTCATCCATCGGGGTACCAGTGCAGTAGTTAGAAGTACACTAGTAGAGTTATGAGTATGATCATCTCCCTAAATCATTCGTTCAGTTCAAATACCACTCATTTATTTCATATCTGAATTTTTTTTTTTAATTTTTTTAATTACCGGTACATCGTGTCAGATTTCTGTTTTCTTTTAATTATTTTTAAAACAAGCCTTATTTCAGCAAATATATATATATATTTTACTTTGACATTTTTTTGTAAACATTAGTCCAATTGTGTAATTCTTCATCTTCTAAGTTTTTTTCTGCTCAGACCTCAAAGTAACTGCGTTTCCTTTTGTGTGTCAGTAATGATGAACTATTGATGACGATTCTTTTTTGCAGATAAGTCATCAGTAGCGGGCTCAGAGGAGGCGGAGCCCCAGTCTCCTCCCATCAAGCCACGGGAGATGCGACAAAAAGTTGTTCAAGAAGCTCCTCCCAAAAAGGGGCGCCGGTCGCGTCGCTGCGGCCAGTGCTCGGGCTGCCAGGTTCCAGAGGACTGTGGCGTCTGCACTAACTGTCTGGACAAGCCCAAGTTTGGAGGGCGGAACATTAAAAAGCAGTGCTGCAAGTCAGTGTTTTATCTTTTAGGAAGCAATAAAAAGAACATATTCAAGTTTTGTTTGTGTGTGTATAAAGTAAAGTTTCAACTTCTTATGTCTTATTTACAGAATGAGAAAGTGTCAGAACTTGCAGTGGATGCCCTCAAAGATGGTTCTTCTAAAACAAGGTAAAGGCAAGAAGGACAAGAAAAAGAAGTTCTCTGAGAAAAAAGAAGGTCTCAATCCTGTAAAAGGGCCCAACTCAGAGCCAGGCACCAAACCTGCTCCTGCTGCGCCAAAGGAGGATCCTCTCCTTAAAAACACAGAAACTCCTCCATTAAAGCTGGGAGACGAGAAGTCAAGACAGCAGCCACAGTCAAAGCAATCATCTCCAGCGCTGGCCTCGTCTCCCGCCCCAGACGAACCCACTCAGACCCCGAGCACCACTCAATCTCCAGCTCCGACTCTGGAACTCCAACAACTCCCAGTCACGAGCAGTTTTGCCAGTAAAAAGGGACACAAACCACAGCAACCTGTTCAAACGCATACTTCCACGTCCTCTTCCCCTTCTTCATCTTCATCCTCATCGTCGTCCTTCTCGTCCTCACCGACTCAGAATTCCCTGTCCCAGTCGACACAGTGTCATCAACTTTCACAGGAGCAGCCGCCTGCATGTCAGACACTTTCAAAAAAGGACTCATCACCCAAGAGTTTTGTGAGCGAACCCAAGAAGAAGCCCCAGCAGTCCTCAACACAACAGCAGAGTTCAACTGCAACAGGTGAGTCTGCTCACTTTTAGTCCACTAATAATATGTATTCAAGTGTTCTCAGAGAGCAGATTCTACCAGGATCCACGTGTTCTTTGCCACAGCTCCAAGTTTTCACCGTTTCACAGACCTCAGCTCTCACCTCGCTGAAAGAACAATACACATTTCTTTACTAATCTCACTCACTTTTGAATGTCATGTTCTTTTCCTTTTCCTAGCTGACTCCAAACAGTTGAAGATGCAACCTTCTCGCACCATTCCTCCATTTCCTAAGCAGAAACCAAAAGACAAGGTAGGAATTCACTGAGAGACTAGCTCAGGGCTATTCATCAAATCTGCTCAGGAGGCCATAGTTTCTGAAAGCCAACAGCTCGGGGGCTGGACATCCAGCGATTAAAATCATTATGTAAATAAACCAAAGTTTACAAAAGCTATGTTTACATGCGCAAAATTATTTTATCAGATTGAAACGTATTCGGCTAAAATAATCCAAATGTATTGTTTACATGGGCACAATCTGATCATGACGAGCATTTACATGCAGCGGGCTTTGATTTAGAACAAAAGCACCAACATGCGCAGAGTGGTAAACTTTCCTTAAAAAAAAACACAGAAGAAGAAGTTCTACTTCCTGTTTACTTCCGTGATGAACGTAAACAAACCTGAGCGCCCAAAATGGACCTGCGACAGGTTTTAATGACGGTGGAGATGTTACTGCACTCCCTGACTGAGCTACAGGTGATACAGATAATTTTGAGCTCTTTCAAAGTTTCTAGTAGAAATGTTGTATCGCTCACCGATCAGCTTTGCTTCCCCGACATATTAGCATCTAGTACGTGAGGTTAACAGGTCGCACATGCGCGGTTAGGTCCGTTTTCCACTATCGGAATAAAATGATAGCTAATGATCTGTTACCTTTTAAATTTGTTGATTTTATTGCATTGAATCACAAATGCAATAAACAGAACCCCCACAAAAAATATTATTTATTTATTTTTTAATGAAGTGAGTCATATTGAAGTCACCGGGCGCCAGTTGAATAGCCCTGGACTATCGGAATTATCTTTGTGCTAAAAATCTTTTCATCGTGTTTTATTGCTTTGCAGATACCACACATTATTTAAAAAAAATATATTCTCTTTTGTGTCTTTGTTATTTCACACAACAACAAAAAAGCCGCTGAGCACTAAACCTCCCAGCAGCAGTACTTTAAACTCGCTGAGCACTCCCTCGACTAGGGAGCTGGTGAAGTCCAGAGCGCCCTGCGACGGAGTGCATCGTATCAGAGTGGATTTTAAGAGGGATCAGGACGTGGAAAAAGTGTGGGAGGCTGGTGGCCTCAGCCTGCTCACCTCTGTGCCCATCACACCCAGGGTGCTTTGCTTTCTGTGTGCGAGCAGTGGCAACGTTGAGGTAAAAGAAGGAAACAAATGTTTGTTTTGAAACCCTTCAGTCGTTTAAAATCACTGGTCATATTCACTTTACACTCTCTCTTTCTCCCCCTAGTTCGTCTTTTGCCAGGTCTGCTGTGAACCGTTCCATCTCTTTTGCCTCGGGGAGTCCGAGCGCCCCCTCCAAGAGCAGTTTGAGAACTGGTGTTGCCGAAGATGCCGATTCTGCCAGGCCTGTGGGCGCCAGCACCAGAAAGCTAAAGTAAGCCAGCTTAAAGCTACTAATGAAAGATTCTCAGTTTAGACTGATAAAGTGGAGAATGTTTTCAAAGAAAAAGTCTTGCATACATCATTTAATCAGCTTCTTGGCTTCCTGCCATGGTTTAATGATTTATCTTATGTCCAAAATGTGCATAATCTGAGCCCTTACTGGCTGTCATTTAGGAATTTCATATTTGGTTTAAACAGCACATTATAGCTCCTGTTTTTATTAACTCTAAAAAAAGTTAAATCTGGTCCTCTGGACATTCAAAAAAGCAAAACAATAAAAATTGTTTTTTTTTATTGTTTTGCTTAGTTTTTTTTTGTTGTTTTTTTTGAATGTCCAGAGGACCAGATTTAACTTTTTGAGATTTTTCTACCTGGATTATTGAGCATGCGTCAGGATGTTTGTATTAACATTCATCAGTGAATTGTTTTATTATTGGCAGTAGTGTGAAGGTAAAATATTAAATGCAGCAAGTTCTTTTAAAGAAAGCTCCCATTAAAAAACGTGAAGTAATTAATTACTGTAACCAAGGAGCCACCTAATCATCACTGGGTGTCTGTCGCTCTTGTTCAACTACAGAATGTCTAAAGTCTCATCTTGTTGTGGATTTAAGTCCTTATCAGACCAAATGTTAAATATTCATTGCAGCATAATCAAAAACGTACACGTTGCTTCCTTCACTTTAATTAGTTGACGGTTATTGAGTGAAGGTTTCTCTGATAATTTCATTTTATCCGTTTTGATAGAGGTTAAAAACCAAGATTTACTGACCGCTCTGTATAAATAGCAGGGACTGCTGAGGTTGAAGTGATCTTTGTTAACAGTTTGTTTTGTGGAGAATTAACATGTATTGGTGGCTCATTTGTTGCTTAACTTTTCTTTCCATCTTGTGGCTTTTCGCGCTGTAGCAGCAGCTGCTCGAGTGTGATAAGTGCCGTAATAGCTATCACCCAGAGTGCCTGGGTCCCAACTACCCCACCAGACCCACCAAGAAGAACAGAGTCTGGGTACGCATCAACACCACTCTGTCATCACACATCAGTTCTGCCCTCTAACTACTGCCTGACCAAACATAAGCATCATGTCCAAACATATCTTTGTCCCCCTTTTCCCACCTCCTCTTGTTCGCACATTTTCTATTTTAAAATCACGCTACTTGTATTTATTGGACCTCTCACAGGCAGTATCTATAAAAGAACTCCACTTTCACACCCTTTACACTTTTTCAAAGAAGCGCTTTAATGTTTCTGCCACATTGTCGTCTTGTTCATATGTTTTTTTTTCTCTTCAGATTTGCACCAAGTGCGTGCGATGTAAGAGCTGCGGAGCTACCAAACCTGGGAAGTCCTGGGATGCCCAGTGGTCACATGATTTCTCCATGTGTCATGACTGTGCCAAACTTTTTACTAAAGGTACGCGAGCAGCGGTTCATTGATAAGCTCCTGTTTTCCTTCTTAGTTTAAAGGTAAAGACCTATAAGTCAGTTAATAACGTCACAGCTTGATTTAGGTGTTAAATCCTCTCTTACAGGGAACTTCTGCCCTCTGTGTGATAAGCACCATGATGATGATGACTCTGACAGCAAGATGATGAAGTGTAGTCGCTGCAACAGATGGGTTCATGCCAAGTGTGAGAAGCTTACAGGTTAGTAAGAACCCATGGAGACGTAATAATAAAGAGCAGAGGATTTCAGTTTCTGAGAGCTAACAGGTCTCGATGAGCTGTCGTGCTGATGAGATGCCGAAACACAATAAATCTATTGATAGCAGAAATAATGACCTGTCATTTTGCTGTCCCTCAGATGAAATGTCTGAACTGCTGTCGTTGCTGCCAGAAAGCGTTGCCTACGCTTGCACCAAATGCACTGAACGCCATCCGGCCAAGTGGAGGACGACACTGGAGAGGGAGTTTCAAGGCTGCATTCGCAACGTCCTCAACGCACTGCTCATCTCGCGCACATCCACACACCTGCTGCGCTACAGACAGGTTAGATAAAGAAACACTGTGATTAATTACCACACAGCAGATTCCTTAATTTAGCAGTACTGAGAGATTTACTTACAAATAATTGTACATTTTTGTCTAACTTTGGTTGGTAATGTGGCAGGCTGTGAAGCCTCCAGAGCTGAATCCAGAGACAGAGGAGAGTCTTCCATCCCGTCGTTCCCCCGAGGGTCCAGATCCCCCAGTTCTTACTGAGGTCACTCCCACACCTCCAAGCGATTCCCCTCCAGACCTTGAGTCCATTGAGAAAAAGATGAATCAGGGTCGTTACAACTCACTGGTATGTGGGTTTTTGCTCTTCCTGGAACGTACAAATATTTTTACATGTATTTAGAAGTATTTTCTAATGAACAGATGTAGGATCAGCGTAGTGAAGCTTTTCAATCGGTATGTAATGGAAAAAAAATCTAATTTAAAAACATGTGTTAAGACCATTTCAGTGGCAAATGGGGGAGTGGTGGCGCAGAGGTTAGAGAGGTGGGCTTGTGATCCGAAGATCGCCGGTTCACGCCCCGGCCCTGACAACATCAAAATTGTGGGTGGGGTAGATGAAACACCCACACTTGCCCCCACCCTCATTCGCCCCACTCTGGGCCCATGAGCAAGGCCCTTAACCCCCACCATGTGCTCCCTAAAACAGGTCTCTCTTGAAAATGAGTTCTCGTGGCTCAATGAGACTAGCCTGGATAAATAAAGGCTAAATGAAAAAAAAAAAAAATGAAAAAAAAAATGTCTTGGATCTTGTGTCAGGGTTATCATGTAAACTGATGAATAAATATAAATAGCTGCAATTTATCTATGGCAGTGGTCTGCTTTGGTCATTTGTTTTTTAGTATGCTCTGCTCATGCACATCATTCATTTTCATAATTTCTCTCCCAGCTGGAGTTTAGTGATGACATCGTGCGAATCATTCAGACAGCCATCAGCGGTGACGGAGGCCAGCCTGAGAGTAGGAAAGCCAACAGTATGGTGAAGACTTTCTTCATTCGGGTGAGAATCTTAGCTTTACATCTAAACACTCTTTCACTTCACAAATACAGTGAATTTCGTAAAGACAGTTTAAGTAATGTCAGACACTTTAATAGCATTTCTCTCGTGCTCTGACTCGGGTGATCGCTCAGTCGTTACAGTATCATCATCAGCCTTTTTGCCGCAAAATGCAGGTCTGTGTTGGCGCTTCATTCGGCTGATGAGTCAACTTCACTGAATGTTTTCCCTTTCAGCAAATGGGCCGAATCTTCCCGTGGTTCAAAGTGAAAGAATCCAGGTTTTGGGAAAGGCGAAAAGTCTCTGCCAAGTGAGTTTTTATCACACCATGAATGTGTAATGTTCTGTAACAAACATGAAAGCACTTCAAAATGAGTTTAAAAACCGCTGTAAATTAATACAAAAAATGTATGGAAGTCCAGATTTAAGCAAAGCTCTTCTGTGGTATTGACAAACGTGCCATCAGTTCCTAAACCTGGAAGTCTCATGCAGTGTTTGTAATTACAGAGTAGAATATTTGACCTACATTACTCCTGTAATGTGAGCCCATCCAAAAACCTAAGTGTTTTCAAGACGTGCTGCTCTGTAATTATTGGACATGAGGAGTAAAACGCGGTTTCAGTGGCAGAAGCTGTATCATCATCTGGATATAGAAGGGCACCACCAAGCTGTGAAATAATATTTAAAAAATATTTGAGTGTTGTGTTTTAAACTCTTGAGGTAGGTGAGATCTGGATACACTATGTAGCTACTTTATTGTTTTAGTGGTAAATGATGTCACTTCTTAGACTCTTCAAGAAGCTACTTGTAAAATATGCAGTTGTGTGATGGTCAGTAAAGGGTTTATTTTCTTTGCGCATACCTTCTCACATCAACGTGACAGAGACTAAAGTCATCAAAGTAATTGGTTGCACATTTTCTTTTGGAAGAAGCCCACCGAGCAGCACTGTGGGGCTTTTAAGGAAAAACGTCTGCTGCTGATCAGGATCAGTGAAACCAACTCATTGGAGTCGTAGATGCAAAACATTCCTCTGCTGTCACTCTTTAAGGGCACGAAAAATACTTAATACTTGTCAAATATGACCAATAACATGCTAATATAAAATTACCAACATTTAAACAGATGACTGGCTTATCATCAGGCGAGCATTATTTAGATGTTTTCGAGCCGTTTATAAGTCATAAAGTTTTATTGCTTTGAATATTGGCTTTTTCTGACATTTACATTCAAACTCATTCACTGTCTCAGCTGTCTGCCCTCAGACCATTAATTCTGCCTCGCCTCCTGGCATTGTGGGAGGCAAACTGTAACAGTCTCAAATTTCACTGGGAGGCTCTTTGATACGTAGTGTGGTCTATTTGTGGTTTACTTGTCAGCTTCATCTATTGCTTTTTGTATGTGTTCAGCAGTCTAGTAAACCAGCGATTCATCCGGTGGATTTTGAGGCTTCCACTGGAAAGATTACCATAGTTTTTTTTAAGGTTCCTCTGCTGACTTATTAAGCTTCAAACATCACATTAGAACTATTATTATTATTATTATTATTATTATTATTATTATTATTATTATTATT